TTGATTCAGGAGGAAAAAAACCAGTGGTGAAAACGGCGCAAGTTAGCTCATTCCATGCCTCTTTACACCTCCTCTACTTACTACGACTATATCAACTGTAATAATATCTAGTCTAATCTTTTTTCACTAGTGAAGAATCTTATGGATTTCGTGTACTGGAGATCTCACAGAACATTACAGACCGCTGGGTCGTTGAAAAAAAACAAGCGTGACTGAAGATGAAGAAGGCTTCATCTTCTTTTAGCCTTTGGAGAACTGCACGAAACTACTCTTTATCTACGATAACTGAGCAGCTGCATGGTGCGCCACTTACTGGTGTTATGTAAGGAACTGCAGAATTACTCAAATACGCACGCTTGCAAATAAACCAAATAACGGGGAACAATAAAACGGTAGATCGTTCATGAAGAGTATCCTTGAATTTTTTCGCACAGAGTGGCGGGATAAAAACGGGCATATCGGACGCTTGCCTTAAAGACAGCCCCCGCGCTCGAGTAGTACATGGTCGTCCTTCCTTGTGCAAGTAGTACAGCCCCCAAGCTAGAGACTGTCCCACTCTCGCGACTCCACAGCGAGCGATTAGCGAGCTACAGCCGCTGAAAGTTCTAGTTCTAACGCCCGCTCAGTTGGACCGCCCACTTGCTAGATGCCCTCTGACGGAGGGCCGCTCAGTTGTTCTTTGTTGGGGCGGCGGGCATTAATCGGAATCGCATGCCCTTTTTGCTGACCGCGCTCGTGCTCATGAATGATTCTGCTCTCCTTCATTACATTTTATTCATTAGGGGCATATACATTCAACTCAACCCTTTCGCAAGGTGAAACGCGTAAAAATCACGAGTGACGCAGTTTTCGTGGTGCAAAAGCTCGACGCACTTCGCTACACTAAAATGTGCGCTACCGTAACCCCAAATTCGGACACCGAGTTTTTAAAATTTCTTTTTCCTTCCAAGAGTTTTTCCTCTGCGTTTTGTTGTTTTTTTTGTATTCTTTTTTTGCACTGGATGATATCAACTACTGCGAGATGTGATAGAGAGATTTGTGAGCTAGGGGTTGCACAGAGACCGCAGGGGGTGTGACTGTGGGGAGCGATTTTGTTTATGTTGTTCTTAAGGACTTTTCTTACTTGTTTGCTTCTCTGGGGGATTACTTATCAGCTACCTTTTCATAATTGAAAAGCAACTATCCATGCCACTTTTATCGCTGGAGCTGTCTTCAATCCGCACATCAGGGACCCCTCAAAGGATCGGTGGGACCTCTTACCAGAGTGTTTGGCCAAAAAACTGACTATTGACGTCGAGTCATGAAAATTGGATCGGGGCCATGGCTACGTTATGCGGAAGACCAGAAGGCTGGTGTTCTTCAAGAGCGACCCTCTCCAGGAATCTGCACAATATGGACCCAATCAAGGAGGTTAGGCAGCTTCAAACTTCAAACTGACGCGAAAACTGCGATGAAACTTCAGCTAATGGCGATGAGATGGCTTCATCTCCTCGTGGCCGTGGAGGCTGATGTGCACTGCTTACTCCTATTCATAGAGGAAAATCACCCGCATCACCTGTGCTCGGAGTTGCTCAAGCGAGTTGCTCACGCAAGCGTCAGTAACATCCCCATTTATCCCTGAAACGAGTTAGAGCTGCCCAACGGGTTCCCTGTGCTCGAAGGACACGATGAACTTCACACCATCCGTTCAGAGCCTCCATGAAGAAGTCTCTCGCTTGACATCCCGCGAAATCCAGTCGGTAATCGCTTTGGTCCAGCTGTCCTCTTTGAGACGCATGGCGTGGTCAGACCACTCATCGAAACTTGGCAAATGCGGTTGCGTCCCTGATCTTCTGTCGCCGACGCAGTGCGGAGCTCCGGGTTCCCTCTCAAGTGCGTGTAGCGGGACAATCCAAACATTGCTTTTTTTGAAATGGCGCTTTGAATGAGGCTAGCCTTATGCTTGTGTCCTACTTTCGTAAAGTCCAGGTCGCTCAGGCGTAAAATAAAGCAGGAAGGACAGCGGAATCGAAGAGGTTAGCACGGAGCCCGCTGTTCTTCGTCTTCTTCGCTACTCCCTCGATGTTCTTGAAAGGCTCTGCCAAGCCGCTCGCTTCCTTCTGCTCAGCTCTGGTATCAGGTCTTTCATCATGTTGATTTTCACATGCGCTGGTTATCACAGAAGTCACTCGGGCGTGTCAGGGCGTGGGTTTTTTGGCGAGGTGTCAGCCCTCGACCGTTCATTGATTGGCTTTGACCGTTCAGAGTGATGAAAAAAGGACTGGCACATCGCCAAAATCCAAGCCTACCTGACACGCCCGACTGACATCAGTGATAAAGACTGTAGCTAGAGTATCCAGGATGTTCGCTCCGTTGGATGGGAATTGGGTAACAGAAACCTGTCCGTTTTTCCTAAACCTCGTATTAAAGGACCAGTCGGATCACCCGGCTGCCGCCGGGTGCTCCTCCTTCTGATTCACGGCCCGGCTTCGCCGGGCCGACCTGGCTTCGCCAGGCACTCTTCCCTCGGGCGTGGTAGAATGCGCTAAATGTGCCAAACGGTGGCGGTTATTTTTTCAATAAAATGTAGGAAAATGAGTTGAAAAAGCCGAACATCAGTCATTATCTATCAACATATGGTCCCTCTTGGTTACTACAGGCTTTCAACCGTGGGAAGGCTGAGCCATATCTTCAAGGATGGCAGTTGCGAGTAAAGATGAATTAGTTCGGATGAGTCCTTAACACCCGAAAGAGGCATAACTGCAGAGTCATGGGTGGCACTGAAAAGGAGAACTTCACATTGCCTTGTACATGTCAAAGTACGTGTCACACGGAGAGGTCGAATGTCACCACCGATGAAACGTCCCCACTCCCAGTTGTTGGGTTCCTTCCTTATTTTGCTTCAATTGCGAACTTCACCACCCAACACAACGTTGCACATCATATAACAGGCAGATTTCCGAAAAGTTTTTAATTGATATGAATTTCTCGACTTTCCCGTTTCAGCCGCACTATATACCCCCCCCCCCCCTCGACAGCTATTTCACGACGCATATCAACAACACTATCCTATACGCGAACCGATTGTTCGAAGAAAATTTTTCACGCACTAAAGCCTCTAATACTCGGCATTAAAGCGGTAAGGAGTGATAAAAATGTAGCGCAGATGGTATCTTATCCATTCTTATCGAATGATATGATTACCTGCCACCCGTCATCAATGTCCTTATCACTAAATCCTTATAATTTGGTAATGTAAAAGCTGCACCGCCTTGGGTTGAACAGTTGACGCACGACTGAAGTCCGTATATCAGCCCCTACCAGTATGTATCGCTTCCAACCGACCTCACCGGTTGTTGTCCCCATCTCACCCTAGATATCATTTGCTGAAATGAACGCCTCGCTGAGGCTGTCACCCGCGTTATGAATATGGTGACCTTCCCCTTCTGAAGCCCCTTATCAAATCTTATCAGCAGCTCGCAGTTCTTGTCACCCAAAAATAAGGTTCTTGGCCCGTACTTCACATCATATCTTGGAATCAAGAGCTAGCTGATGCTGTCCACGCTCGCCCGTTATCGAAATGGTAAGCTTCTCCTTCTAGACCCCTCTATCGTGATCTTATCAATATATCAATTCCTGTCACCCACACGACAGTGTTCCCACCTACATCACTTCTTGGAACTAATGTCTCACTTCTACTGGGACGGGCGCTATGAATTTCGTGACAGACAGACGCACGGACACACACACACACACACACACACACACACACACACACAGCAGACATACTTAGCGATTATATATAGTAGGAAGATACAAGGAATATTATACCATCGATCTTGCATGCACTCCTGCTTTTCTGCGCAAAGTGGACTTTGATAGCCCGCTCCACGAGCACAGTGTCTTTTTTAATCCCCCTCTCTCCCACATAAAGTTTTAGTTACTTTCAAAGCAGTCTGATACCAATTATTTGACCGGGAAAGAAGCGTCACTAAGGCGTAACCAAGGCGATATTTGAACAGATAATTGATCAGTGTAACTTCAAAGGATTACAGACTGTCGGCTGACCACGCCATGAACTAAACCACACCCCTCCCTCCTCTGACAAATCATGGATACAGTGGCGGAAGGTCTGGACCTTTTTAATTGCAGCAATTTACGGCTTCTCGGCACTCTCTCGTCTGCGTGGTGTTCTATAATGTGCGACCTCACACGATCCAGCTTTTCACGCATAATGAGTGGCTCACCCACTCCACAGCCTCCTCGCCCTGAGAAGTCCATCCCAGACATGATCCCTTTGAACTCAAATTGCTGTGGCGGTTGCTGTCCTCTCTCTGTCTGCTTTACAAGGTCACCAAGGTACATCGTACATTTAGGAATCGCCAACAGGAACCGTATTCGGTCGCTAAAAAGAGAAGGTCGTATCAGGCTCTCCCTTGGTCGACAGCGCTGCAAAATTACTATTTCTGAGTTGATCGCAGGTACAGTGCACATACCGAAGACTGAGAGGGCGTGGCTTCACTTGAACACGCTGGCAACTGCGCTACTGGTGAGATGTGCCGTTTTAGGACAGCTCCAAGTTGTCGTCGCTTAAAAAAGGGCAGTTGCTGTAATAAAAATAGCCCAGGAAACAAACGGATTTTACGCCATGTTGAAGTGAAGAACGCAGCCACACCTACCCAGTGGCCGGGATATATGCCGTATCTACCTCATCCTCACCTCCTCAACAGCCAAATTTCTAGAGGATTTGGCTAGGGCCCAGGAGGCATGTGTGTGAGGAGAGAGTTCAGAGGGAGAGTCTTATACAGGAAAGGTCCCTCCAACGGCAAAACGTGCCCCGTTCGATTCACGTACTCGCGCCGGAAACAGACGTCACAAGTGAGCAGCGTCCGTGGCTGCACAGCTTTTTTGTGCAAAGACGCACACCTGCTCAGGTTTCCGGTCACTCACTGCAGATGTTTCTTCTTGTCGTGCGCATTGCTTTTGGGCTGAAATATTTATTTATTCTAATTTTTTTAGATATGCGGACACAGGCACGCTGTCACGTATGTCTGAAAGGTCCATTTCCTCTGAGCAGGCTATATCGTCACTTACGAACGGTCCACGACATATCACAGGATGAAGTTAAAGAAGTGCAAATTGCCATAAGAAAAGCAATGCACAAAGAAAAAGTGGAGCTGAAGTGTGAATTCTGTGGTGGTACATATTATTCAGATAAAGGACTAAGTAAACATAAGCGGGTACGTTTTAACAAATAACTTATTTTCCGTATTATAATTTCCTTCATCCTATTTGTTTTGTATTTTGTCGTTTCTGCTTTCTATCTGTTAACGTTGATGTCATAGGGTTGCACTGTTTTGGATTTACCTTTAACATTTCGGAGTACTGGAGTGTTGTGCCTTTACCTTAACACCTTAAACTTTACCTATTAACTTTAACATTTTGTTGTTCCAATCACAATAAAACGAAGAGGTGTTTTGTGCTCTCAACAACTCGTCGGCATCTTGTGCAAGGTAGTCCGGTCCGCAGTCTCTAAGATTGCCCCTTTTTTTGCAGCTCCACAGAAAGCACCGAAAGCCTGCAATACACCCTTCATACGGGGCAGTTCTGAAACCTTCCTAGTCATCCCGCTCACCTAAATTCAAATTCGAAATTCAAATTGTATTTTCTGCCACGAGTTTAGTTTTTAGACCGAGTTTTTCGTTTTTCTTTCTCACTGTTAGGTGCGTTACGCATTGCATGATGCGAGGAAACGCTTAGTGAGCTAAAGGCGGCAGGATATTGCTTTGGTGGCATAAAATGAGCAGGTCGGGACAACTCGTCCAGACAGGCTGCAGGTTCTTTTTCAAGGGTTCTCCATTATTTTCCTTCTGGGGCATCCAGTGACTACACTGCTCATCACTGCGGACTGTCGGGACCGGGCGCGAGCGGCTCGAGCTGCCCTGCTCTACCAACGGCGATCGGCTAGAAGATCGATTCAGCAAGAAATCAACCACTGGTGGAAGCGCCGAGAGGGAACCGCTGATTGCGACCCGATAGTTGCAATGATATAAACTGTACATGTTTGATGTTGAACGTCACTGTGCACAATATGCAATCGTAGAATTTGTCTTCAAGAATTCTCAGCGCTATAGCGAAAGATGCTGCCCGAGGTTATGGCTGTCGCGCTCGGAATGGATGAAATGGTTTTCTGGAATCTCCTTCCTTTTACGGTTAGGTGTCGGCAGAAATCTTCCGTCACCGACTGACAATCGTTTCTTCGCACCTTCTGACAATGGATGCCATCCGACTTAGAGAAAGCCCGTGCAGGAAACTTCTTCGACAAACCCGTACAAGAATGACAAAGCCGTAGCCCTACGAACTACTGCACCAAATACTAGCGGCTGTCCGGCACCTTTCATCCTCAGATCCATCTGCGATAAGGTTCAAGTCGGGCTCGGCCGTTAACGTGGTGGAGGGGGGGGGGGACGCCACCGCTTCCATATCCCTTTCCCTGAAAAAAGGCTTCAGTTTGAAGGAAACCATTCGTTCTCTGCGTGACTATCATCGGCGACACTAGTTGTCCTGCGTAAGTCTAGGGCCTTTCTAGAGGGTCTTAGGATATCTGTCAACCGCGACGCTTTCCTTCCTTTTTCCTTCATCCTTCCTTCTTTTTCTTGTTTTTTTTTTCTGTCCACGCCTATTCTTTATTTCCCCTCCTCTAAATACTGGAACGAGAAGATGCAATGAGAAAACGCCTCTGGACTCTCGCAGCGAAAGAGCATCCGTTCGACAGATGCCTTGTGACACTTGTGAGGAATGGGAGGGATACAGAGCTTCCCCTTCCCCGGATCCGAGCTTTCTCCCTTTCCCCGTCCCCCCCCCTAACTACGTTGGCGCCGACATTTACAAGTTCGTAACGCCGAAAAATGAACGGATCTGGTATGGTGGATACCGCCCGCGCTCCATGGGTCAAATCTCTGATCAGCTCCCGCCGAAAACCACCAAATCTTCCATCTAATGCTAATAAATCGTATCAAATCCATTCTTGATGATAAACCATTGATTTCTTCACAGCGTGCCTTTGCAATTTTGAATAGAAATGGAATGCGTAGCGCATCCAAAAAGTGATTGACCAACAGTGAGAGCTTTGTTCTTTCGCTTTTCAGCCCAAGCATACTACAAATGCCAAGAAAGCTGAAGTTTGAAGCTGACTATTCGCCTTGTTTAGGTCGTCCATGGAGAGGCGCGAAGACCTGTGAAATGTCCTGGATGCGAGTTTTCTTCACATACAGTGTTGGAACTAGCAAACCACTGTAGGAATAAACACTCTGGGAATGGATTATCATTTAACCTAGAAACGCAGGACTTTAAAAATTGGAACCTGTTTGCGGTCAGTTAGCTTAATTGATTTTTTTTCGATTGTTACATGTTCCTCGATTGGTTTCAGATGTGGTTATCTAGTCGAGAGTCAGCTACTTATTCAAAACTTTCTATAAGAAGGACCTGGAAGCCTAATGACGCAGTGATGTATTTTTATGCCTGCAATTATTTCGGAGCCGAAAGTTGTAAACGTAATAAGAAGGAAACGAATGCAGTTACCTATTGCCCGTGCTTCGTGCAGGTGAAATGGAACATCATAAAGCACGCTCATACTTTGCGACGGAAGAGATTCGACGACTCGAGAGATTGCGCGATGACGAAAATATAGATATCGATCTGGCGACTGTGGAGATTGAGCGATCCGGCGGTTTGGGAGACTCGGCGTTCCCGACTCTCCTAAACCGCGCGCCGAGGGAGTGTATGGGTATCGATCGGCGGCGGTCGCTAGCGATTTCGAAAATTCAGCGATCCTGCGCTGAGGGAAATCGCCGGATCGCCAAATGTTCGCAATCGCTAGGGATAGGTTCCCATCCGTCAT